GGGCCCACTTTCTATTGATTTTCCTGCTCTCACAGACCAGTCCTCATTTTCTTCAATGTGTCTGTGACGGAAGTTTTATTAACGCAAAATGAATATCACTCTTGAAAATGAAGTCCAGAAATTAATAATGAATTAAAACAACTTGCCACAGGCATCACTAATGAGCTCTTTGTCTGCGTGACTCACATGAAAGGAGGTCATTGCTCAGCTGTTCCCATCATGAACAGCAAGCAGATTAACCATTAACTTCAAGCACGTGGATCTCTCCTGAGACAGCAAGAAGAGCTGCAGCTTGTGCTCGAAGGGTTTTACTGCCCTTTTCTGTGCTGTGCAGGTTTGTCTTGAGGATCTTTGGTACTGCCTTCCTCCTTCCCCTCTGAAGACTCAGGTTGCCCATCTGTGTTGGGAGAACACAGAACTTGTCCCACAGAAGGGACAGTAACCTTGCAGAGATTTAGAGGAAGGTGGAAAGTAATCTTGGAGGGGACTAGCAAGGCTTAACTTCACCACCATAAGCCTCTTCAGGGACACTGGCCCAGTAACTAACCTGGCACCACTCCAGTGCTGGGTCTGCATCTATTGTTCTTTTCTCTTATCTTGCAAGGCAAAGGGTTATCCCGCATTATCTGCTACCACAGGCTTTGGAGGAGGCTCCATGGCAAGGGCAGTGGAGATTGTACCCCTGCCAAGCCCCAGGGCAGGAGAGGGGGGACTGTGCTGGGAGAGGAGCAGCTGCACAGGACAGTAGAGAAGGAAGGCTGTCACATCATGCCAAGACCTCTCCAGGGCCTTTTCTGCAGGCTGGTCTTGCTCAGCAGAGATAAGGAGGCAACATGTTGCATTTACCATTTTGCCTGGGGAGGGTGGCAGAAGGCAGGTGCTTTCAGGTGCTGCTTCTCATTTGATGCCTGGGGCTGGATGCAGCAGTGCTTAGGACAAGAGACACTGGACATCACTTCCCCATGGTGTGGCTGGACATCAGAAGGGGATTTTACACCTTGTCCAGTGGCCCTTGTGACAGTGTTGGCTGGCTGGGGCTGAGGGACTCATTCCTTCCCCATATCCACAAGCAGCCTGTTTCACATCAGCCCTTTATTACTCTGCTTTCTTGTGAAATATGAAAGCTCACTCTATCCCTTCCAAGGGCTTAACCCAAGCTTGAGGAAATGCTGCTGTGTTTGAGGTATGCTTTTTTTTGCCACCCTTCTCCACCCTTGCCCTCTTGGGTGGGACACCCAGCACTGCATCTGCAATGCCTGGATTCAGCTCCACCAACTGCCCCCACTCATCAGAAGAGTCAATCTTGTCCTCCCCTACACCCATCCCTGGCCAGACATTCCCAGCCCTCCTCCTGTGGTAGCACTGGACTGGGAAGAAATCCTTTTCTGGTGCAGAGGGGGTCTGGCCTGATCAGGAGAGAAAGGAGCAGGGAGGCTTGGGCAGCAGTGGGGGAAAAGCAAGACTTAGGCTCTCAAACTGCATATTGACAGGCACAAAACCCCCTTCCCCCCTCCTTCACAAGTTTGTGTGTGTCTGTTGTTAAACTGAAAATTCATCCAGTGCCCCCAGTAAGGGCCTGCACTGAGCCTGTGTACCCCTGAATTCACATGGCAGTCTTACCATCCTCTTCATCACCATATCTGGGTACCTCATAAGCCAGACTGTAGCTTGTCCTTAAAAAGCTGTGGCAAAGGGAGGTTCATCTTAGAAGGGACAGGGATGCTGAGAATGGCCATCCCACACAGCACCATGTCAGGAGAGCAGTATCTGAGGAGTCTCCAAAGAGACTGATGCAGCTTATAGGCTCTTTGCATGGGACCCTGGGGGGACTCAAGGGGACAAAGGATGGGACCACAGCCCCACACCTGGTTGGCTCAGTAAAGAGTGCCATTCAGGTGTCTGGGAAAGGCAACACAGCAGCAGAATAGACATAGCACAGACTCCAGTGGTCGTGCCTGAGAGGTCTGACTTGGGAATTCAAGTGAAGCTTCTTGCATCCCATTTATTCATTATCTACCAGGCTGTTCTTCCTACACAGCAACTTATCTCATATTTGGAGGCTGCCTGAAGCTAGTGCTGCATTCAGGCATGGATGTTGCTTTTTTCTTTACTGGCATGATCTAGAAACCACCCTTGTGTTGCGTGCACAGACAAGGAGCAGTGCAGATGTTGCTGGTAACTGCTGGAGGACAGAGCAGGCAGATGGATGGGTGGAGGGCAGCACAACACTCACATGAAAGCCAGGGAAGTATTTCAGCCTTGGCTCAGCTGTGTCAGGTACTAAGATGGTCCTGGGTTGAGGACCATTCTTAGACAGTGGTTGAGAGTTTTCTGAATCTATTTGGAAATTAAGTACAAATCGAGGTTTTTTTAAACACAAGCTGTGCTTGTATTTAGGAGGCAGGACAGTCAGTTAGGACAGCAGGGTTCTCAGGTCTCTGCCACTTATTTTTTGCACAGCATCAAAATTTCATCTCCATTTAACTACTGGTTCATGTCTGGGGTAACTCTGACCCAGCTGGCTGGCAGACTTGTTGGGGCAGTCAAGCCTTCCGACAGCTTAATTTTCCCTGAGACTTGCAGCACAGAGGTTTGTGGATCAAATCCTGATGAGCAATCAATCACCAGGGGATGCTGTTGGGATCTCTGCCTCTGTCTGTGCCGGTGCTGCTGTGACCATTACAGCTCTGGGATCTGGGGCTATTACAGGCTGTGAAATCACAGGTCACATCTACTTGGATCCTTCGTACCCCTGTTTCTGTTTCCTACCAGTGATAGCCAGGACAAGATTTCTGTTATGGCCAAGACTTCATTACTCCAGTAAGAAAGACAAGAGCCTAGCAGAGCTGGTGAAAATTCTTACATGGAAAAGGACACGTCAGACTTAAAAGTAAAATAAGGTCTTGCAGAAAAGGCAGAATTGCCCCATGGTAATAAGGCACCATCCTCTGTATGGAGTAAACAGCTTCCTGGAGCTTGTCTTTTATGCTCTTACAAAGGTTATTTTGAAAGTGTGTGTTACTTTCTCCTCTTTCATTCCAAGTGCTTAAATTTGAGGATAAATCCTTATCCCTAAACAACAAGCAATACTGAACGGGAAACTATTTTGTTCTGTCATTCCCTTCTCATTTGGTTCTGTCACCTCCTATCTTTTGGCACTATGTATTTTCTTAGTGTTATGAGCATGTATCTGTGCTGTGTGTGTGAGAGTGGGTGTCTGAAACATGTTTGCAAAGGTCCTTGATAAAAAGCTTTAACAACTAAAACTATCAGAGAGGCATGGGTGAGCTGCTCATGGTAGATCTGAACACTGGCAGGGAGCAGGGTATCTATCTGAAGAGATACTAAGCACTGAAGAGTCAGAATCATCAGTTTTTTAGTATTTGCTTAGGAGGGCAACTACTTCCTCTTCTAAGGAGCTAATGTTGCTTAAGGATTTAGCTTGAACACCAGAGGGAAGATAAAATCACTGTCAGACAAGTACCTTCAAGGACAGCATTTCCCTCCAGAAGCATTGTGCAGCTTTATCCAAGTTTTCCTTATTAATCACTTACTTTTATTCTTGTTTTCCAGCCAAAGCTTTTGGCCAAGGAGTTGCTTGACTTGGTGGCATCTCATTTCAACCTGAAGGAGAAGGAGTACTTTGGCATTGCATTCACAGATGAAACGTAAGTGCAGGAAATCAAAGACTTAAGAAGCAAATCTGAGATCACGGGAAATCTTGGTGTTCTTTTGTCCTAAGCAAAATGATCAGCATAGCAGATCTGTGTACCTCAAGGTCCTAGATCAAGGTCTAGGGAGGAGTGGACCTCACATGGGACTCTGTCTTGCACTGCCCTTTCTCAGGAGGGCTGGAGGCTTCTCTTGGTAAATTAAGCATGGCTGGAGGTGCACAGAGGCAGTAACAATCCCTTCCTAATTCTATCTTCAAAGAGTTGGTGTCATTTGGCATTGGTAAAAGGTAACCTTAAGCTCCTATGGGCTTAGGAACCACTCACTAGTTCAAAACTGTTACCAGATTGGAGGAACTGTTCAATTAAAGTGTTAATCAGTTTATTCAATAAGCAGGCTTAAAAGTAATGATAAATTATTTCAAAGGAAAAACAAACAAACAAACAAACAAAAACCTCACAAAATTATACTATTATTTCTCATGTTTTAGATCTCAGATTAGAGGTTCTTAGAAAAGGGAAATAAGAAAATGTGGGAAATTAAGAGATCACCAAAGGGATCACCAAATTTAACATGTACAAAAAAGCATTCTTAAATATAAAATTTCCATTATGGAAAGGATTTGGCTTTGCTAGGAAACAAAAAACAACCTTGTGGCTGAGCTAAATCAAAGGATGACACAACAGTCACCTCAGGCAATGTTGGTTGTTTGCCTTGAACCCCAGCTCCCAGAGTCTAGTATTACCACAAAATTGGAGGTTTTGTCTAAAGACAGGCCATTTCTACCCTGTTTTGAAAGGCAAATATAAAAGTAGCACTGGAAAAACATTAAAGGTCTGTCAAAAGCTATGATTGGTCTGAGACGTTGACCTCTCTGCTACTGCAGTCCCTGCTACTGTTTCCCAGTTGCCTATTTTCTCTCTGCAGTTACACTGTCCTTGGCATATAGACTGTATCTTGGATGTGCCCCCACCATGCCCCAATTTAGTTTGTAGTAGGGGTTTTTTGTATATTAATCAGGAAGAGGCTTCCCATACCTATACTGTTTTAAATAACCAAGATTTTCAAGGCAATTCTGTGTTTCCAGGAGAGCTGAGTCAGCAGTATTGCTGTCATAAGCTATCTCCACTGTCCTACTGAAGCAGCAGCAAAATGTGAAGTTCCTGATGGAATAATTATTTGGGTTCAGGTAATCAGTGGCTGCTGGATAATTGCACAAGCATATCTACATTCAACTCAGCAGCAATCATCCCTTCAGAGCCAGTTCCTTTTGGCAAGCACCTGCCTTGAGCAGTCTGAGCCCATCTCGGGACTCAGCTCCTGAGGTGGAGGGATGCTCAACATCACACACATAGAGAAGCAGGACCCGAATCAGAGAAGAACTCAGAATCCATCCTATCTCACTGACATGAGCAGCTGAGCCCTGTATGAGATCTCCAACCCAGCACACACTAATGAAACCAGTCCTCAAAGGAGGAACAGCAGGAGACACTGGCAACTTATAAAGCAGAAGGAGGAAATTACTCTTCACCAGGGTGTTATTTCTCATTGGAGAGGGCAAGTTACTCAGTGGGTGCTGCCTGAGGGGTGCAGGAAAGCCGTGCAGGGAAGCCAAAGCAGACAGAGATGAAAATGTTCCTGTTACAGCACAGGTTAAAAACAAGAACACATGTCAGACAGCAACCAGATAGCAGCTGAGCAAGCCCCAGCTCTCAGCTCAGCTGAATGGGCACAGGGCTCCCCAGGGAGTGCAAGGGAAGCTAATGAGGAGGTGTCAGCAATTAGAGATAGCCCAGCCTCTCCTGGGGCTTCCCAGTTTAACACAGAGCAGCGTGAGCAAAGATCTGGGTTAGCGACGGGAGGAAGCATGAGAGGCTGTCGAGGCAGCGCTCAGGGATGTGCAGCAGATGCAGGTGTATGCTCACTGTTTAGATGGGATTGCAAAGGGTGAGGTTGGTGGCATCCACTTACTTGGTCACCTTCTTGACCTGTAGTCAGTGCAGGGTGCATTTGACGAGATGCTCAGCCAATCCAGATGAAAGATTTGGGGACACCCTCATTAAATCTAGTAATCACAACCCAGCGACATGCCAGTAAATCCTAGGTGAAATGAAGCTTGGTCTGCAGCTCTTCTGCTGTCCCACAGAGAGTCTGACCCTTGCACTGAAGCTTCTTCAGTGCTGTAAAAACAGCCTTGACAAAAATAATACATGTATAGTATTTCCTCTTCAGTTGTGAAATGCTTTGCACAGAGTTGTCACAAGCAACAACTGTTTTATTTGACTGAACACAGTCAAAAAATATACCTGAGGGGGTTGAGCTGAGTCTTGAAAACAGATGTCCCATGTCACCTTCAGAAAATAAACTGGGTTGTCTGTCTGTACCACAAATTTTAACCTGCAATGGGAAATGGAAGTTTAAAAAAAAGACTTTCTTCAAAAAGTAGGAAAACCAGTATATCTCTCAATGTGTGTTTGCAGAGCACCTAACAGAGCCCTGTAACCCATCCAGACCAGGCACACAAAAAGAAAACCTTTAATTCTGTGGCACAGGCCCTCGGGATTTCCTTCTTTTCACTCTTCACTGAGTTTCCACATGCCTTACTTGAGAGCTCAAAACCAGCTAAAACAGGAAAATCCTGGTCATAAATATAGTCTGGGGTTGGCTAAATTGCAAGTTTAGAAAGAAGAAAGCCACTAAAGTATTAAATCGATTTTCCTATTTAAGAGTAAAAGCTCTATGAGAGTAATTTATTTAGAAATGATTTGGACTGAGGATTTCCATTCATTAGTTGTACTCTATCATGACAACCTAAGAAGAAAATCAATAGAAACCACCTTTCAGTTGGCGACTTAATAGTTTCTTGTGATAATATAGGGTCATCACTGCATTCAGTGTGACTAAAATTAGGTTGCCAGACTATTATGGAGGAGAGAATAAACACTTCCTATTTTAATGATCATAGGAACACTTTATGGTGTGAGCCATTAACTGTGGGAGAGCACAGGTCAAAATGGTGTCCCTGTACAGCACGTGGGGCCAAGCTTCACATGAAGCCAGAAGAGCTATATGCTGGTTGACTAACAGTGAAAAGGAAGGGAGAAAAGGCTTCTTTTTTTTTTTTTTTTTTTTTTTTTTTTTTTTTTTAATTCCACTGAGTATGAATCTCCACTAACTGCCTTTCTCTTGGCATCAGCTCTTCCAGCATTCACTGAGAGCAAGTGGTCAGGTTTACCCTTCTGTTCGCTGCAGGTGCCCTGTCTGGGATTGAGCAGGTTTTCCACATCGTTTACTTGTCATTAGATTTGAGTCACCTGCTCCATGGAGAACTACCAATTTGTGAATCCCACAGCTCCCCCCCTCCCTGGGCCCAACCAAAAGCTGACCCAATCCCTTTTGCTGATACTTGTCCTCCCTTTCCAGAGCAGAACCTGCAGAGCTGCTTCTTCAGCTATATAGGATAAAAACTGTAAGGCATTGAGGCCACCATAATTTATGTTACACTTGTGCTAGAGACTGTACTAACATGATAAGGTAATGACAGAGAGTCCCCTTGCTCAGGCCATGACCCTATGACCAAGGGAATGACAAAAGAAGAGTAGGAGAAGAGGGAGAGGAGATGAGTAGGGAGAGGAGGGTACCACTTGTCCCTGGGATACTCTCTCATCTCCAGAAGTTGGGTGGGAACCTTTTACCACCCTGCAGCCATGTGGCAGAGCCAAAATGAAGACCAGGTGCCCCATGTTCTGGTTGAACAACCAGTCCAATGGAGAGTGCAGCTCTCAGAATGATTTCCTTCCCTATTGTTAGATAAGTTCCTTTGTCACCCCATCCACACCGTTGTGCAAAATTTGTAGAGCTTAACTCATATAGCTCCTTGAGCTTTGCAGCCCCTTCAGAAATACTTCTGTTGAAGGCTTAAGACCTTAAACAAAAAAATCTGTGAGCTTAAAGGGTTTGTTTGTTTCTTTCATGATTGATGGAAATGTAAAATAGTTTATATGTTTTTTATTATGTGAACTGGTCTTTCTCCATTAAATTCAACATGAATTTAACACTGAAGGGGTGTGAGTTCATTTATTGGTCCAAATACCTTTATAACACAAATCAATGTGGATCTACTTTTCAGAAAACTGGACACTAACCAGTAAAACTGCATAATTAGAACCACTTGCAGGCAAAGTACTCATTGATGTACCACTATTTACTGCTAGAAGAAAACAGAACTACTTAATGCAATTGACAGCATAAACCCTGGGCACCAAAATCCATACTCAGTCTGTAACCTAAATGGACCCGGTTTCTTTTTCTAAAAGTGATTATGTATTTGTTATTGACACACCAGTTTAACTGCCAACATGAGTACAGCTAACAGAGAAAAATTATCTGGCTTCCAATATTCAGCCTCCCTGTAGGTCACCCAAAAGTGTTTGCACCATTATTTGTGTACACAGTGATATAAATACCTAAACGAACAAATCAATGGTGATAATTAAACAAAAGCTACTTTGTGTCTCTAAATTGAGCTGTGAAGGAGAAATCCAGTTAGACACAGGTATGTATGAATGGGATACCAGTGCAAGCTGCCTAAATTGGTTCATGAAAGCTGTCAGGATTCCTACATGCCTGAGGTTACATGCCCATACTTTTCTGTCTTACATGGGATTGTGCTCCATGAATAGTTCTGAAGACAGCAAGACAGCTTCCAGAGCAAAGCATTTTGTGATATAAAGGCAGTGGAGTTTGGCTTCCTGAGAGACCACATTCACAGGCAGATGCCCGTGACTGTTCACTGCTGCTGTTCTCTACATGCCACACATGCATACTTGAAAACAAGGAGTGAGGTGACAATCTGCAGTGCAGAAGCCCTTGGCGATGAAAGATTGTAAGTGGTAATTGAGTACAGTGAGCAGTTAGCTCCTGCCAGTGATTTAAGTGACCTTCATCTGCTGAAAGAGCTTTGGATTTAAGCTCCATGCAGATGAGAGTAATAAAACTTTTCAACCCAAAAACTCAGTGGCAATTAAATGTGTTACTTAGTACAACCATGTACATATGCAACATAAATGTGTACCCTGGTACACACACGTATATGAATATATTCTTTTTGTACTGATTCTTTCAAACAGTTTCTCAAGTTAAAACATAGTGAGAATGAAAAAAACAAGTATTTTCAAAAGAAGAAATACTTTGAAGTGAATTACTGTTCTGTGCACCATGGCTTCTCAACCCTTTGTTGTACATGTTAGGCAAATGCAGACATTTCTGTTGAATAAGCACAGAGGTAGACAGCAAGTCCAGTGCCAACAAATCAGTCTTGGTAGGAACTGGTGTGTAATGCTGTTAGCTGCTGGTGGCTGCTGCTTTGGTAATAGAAATGCAGCTGCACAGGTTCAGGACAGGATGTCAGGCTTAGTGTGGCTTTTACCTGCTCTGACAGAGTTTTGTACCTTGGCCCACATGGATAAATGCTTGTTTTGTACTTTGGCTAGGAATGGGTAAGTATGGCTAGTTTCAATCCCCATGCATACTGTGGCCTTCACAGTTAATTTCAGCCTTCCCAAGTCCTGTTAAAAGAAAGATAACAGTACTTCAGGACATAGATAGATAGATAGATAGATAGATAGATAGATAGATAGATAGATAGATAGATAGATAGATAGATAGTGAGATAGATAGATAGATAGATAGATAGATAGATAGATAGATAGATAGATAGATAGATAGATAGATAGATAGATAGATAGATAGATAGATAGATAGATAGATAGATAGTGGAATGCAGCAGGAAATGCAGACACTTGTAATTTTTGGGTGCCCAGCCTGAGAATCTTCCAGTGGGACTTATTATTTGACAGCCTGGAGAATCTATCTTCTAAAAACAAGCCTTGTTAAGGGACACACCTGTTCTGAACAACAGGGCATGATGCAGGGATCCCACACTAGCTCTGGAGGACTGCATCCCAGAGCAGAAATGACTGTGGTGCTGCATGCCAGCTCTGGAACCTGCTGAGAACAGGCCAGTGAGCCCATGTACCCAGCCCTGTTACCACAGCCATCCTCAGCCCTGACCTGGATAGTATCACTGCACATCACTGTCCCAGCTGGGCAGACTCTGGCTCAGCACAGGTACTGCAATAGAGACACAAAATTACTAGATGGGCTTGAAAATCTATTTTATGTTACCCTTTTCCAGTAGCCACGCTGCTAGTGAGCCTGTACCCCTGATACACAGTCCAGCTGCCCTTTACCTAGAGAAAAAAAAAATAGAGAAAAAAACCTTATTTTGAAACTCTATCTAGAGGAAAAAAAACTGACTAAAAGTTAAAATGTCTTGGAGAGAAACATTCAGGTGTCTAGAGCAGGGGATGAAAAAAGTTTTGATCCTTTTTGTACACCCAAAAGATGTTCAGGATGAGTTTGAAAAGTATCCAACTCCACACGTCTCACTTGAACCTATTTGAGACTTGGTACTCTTGCAAGATGGATGCAAAGGCTGCTTAAGAGAACCCCTGACTCCTATATGGCAATATTTGAGGCAAGATACCTTCCTTATAAACATCTGATCCTGAACCCATTGGAGTGATGCATGGAGCTCACAAGTAATTTTGAATCCCTTTAACAGTGCATGCTGTGCCAAGGTGAGCACATGCAAAGTCCCAGCTGGTGTCCAGGGCAGCCCAGAGCTGCTTGGGCTTGAAGGTCCCTGAGCTGCCCATCCTCTTCTGCATCTGCTTAAGCCAGGGCAGTTGTACAGAGATTCAAACTGAATCCAGGTGACTCAAAACCTCCTGGAACTTCTATGCTCCCCTTTATTTCTTTTCTAGAAAAGTTGAAGTGGGGGAGCTACCAATCCAGTTAAATTGCTAAATAGATGTTGTTGCTTCCTTTCCAAAGGGGCTTCTCAGTTGCCCAAAGCACGTGAGCTGCTGAGGAGTAACAGCTTGGGAAAGCTGAGTTTGCTGACAGGGTACATTGCTAAGGTTTGTGGCAACCCTAGAAGCTAATTTAATGCTTTCTTTTAAACCAAGCCTTTTTTTCTTTTTTTTTTCTTTTTTCTTTTTTTTACCTTTTTTTTCGAAGAATAAAGAATTATTCTTGAGGATTAGGCTGAGCTGGTGAATAGGCATTGGAATAGAGATCAGAACATCTGACTTCCATTTCCTGATTATTTGCTGCAAGATTCTCCCCCAAAATCACTTTAATTCTCTTCCCCCTTGCTTGTCTAGACAGCAGAGTGTAGCAGGCAAAGGCTGCCTCTACCTCTGGGTGAAATCTGGTCTGACTGAAATCAATAGGAAAATGCTCAAAGGATGCAGCCCTAGTATCACTGAAGGCAACAGCAAAAATCCTGCTGACTTCAGTGGGGCCTGAATTTTACCCAGTGTATTTCCACAGTGCCTAATTTAATGGGGCCTTTATCTCAGCTGGGGAGTGAGATGCTCCTGTAATACAAATAATGGTATTTATAAAATACCTCTCACGCACACACAGCACTCTACAATGTGGGGGACATGACAAAGAACAGAGCTTCTGCCCAGGAAAGCTTCCAGCAGCAAGGCAAGAATGGATAAATTATAGGAGAAAATTATAGTGACAGGTACCATCTAGGCAAAAAAAAAAGCGGCATGTGGTAATTGGAGCTGGAACGCTTCATGGAGCAGCTGTTTTTCAGGAGCTCTCTGAAGGAGGAAAAGCAAAGGCTGGGCAAACCTAGAGAGAGAGGCTATTGCAGGCACGTGGGTGGTAAATAAACTGTCTGAGGCTGCAGAGTCAGGTTTAGCCTGGAGTGAAATATTGCAGGTGATGTGGAAACTCTTAAAAGTAAAGATTTCTAATGAAAATCTTGACAGACTTTTAATGATACAACTGCTCCTGGGGGTTCTAATAAAAAGGTGAAGCTCATAACATTTTGGGCTGTCCTGCCTGCTCAGTGCTGACAGTTTTCACCCTGACAGATTGAACTTTAGCAGCTCAGTTCTCAGACTGAAATGTTGCCAGGATGATATCGACTCTGCTCCTCAAACATTTATTGTGTGTTTTTCAAACATCATGCAATAACTGAGGGTAAATAGCATGCACTTCAGTTCATTTTTCTACTACCTCAGACCTCATTGCCATGAGGAGTGAGAAACCTCTTTGGCATGGAGCTCAAAACTGTCTCTTCTCTTGCCAGGGGACACTTGAACTGGCTTCAGCTGGACCGGCGGGTGCTGGAACATGACTTCCCCAAGAAGTCAGGACCAGTTGTTTTGTACTTTTGTGTCAGGTAAGTGCATGATCCTATCCCATGGGATACAGACACAGACAACCTGTTCCCTAGAGGCCAGGAAATGAGGCTGTTGGTTTCCCACACTGTAGAAACACCTGAGGACAAACCCACACTTTTAGAGATGTTTCTTTTGAGCTCTTCAGCTTTCAGAACTCTTTCCACACAAATGTAAATAAGTAGCAGCCACACTAACAGCCATAGCTGCCCCCAGAGAAACCTTGTGTAAGGGTAAGATCAGACGTTATGTCTTTACGTTTTTATTGGTGTATTTATTTGTGCACTCCTGGAAAGTCCATGCTGGGTAGGACTGCAGAACAAAGACCTCTTTCTGCCAGGCAACCAACCTGAGCCAGTCACCTGGAGGGGAAAACACTTGCTTCCTCACTGGCAAGCCATCCTTTTCCTCTGGATTGTGCCCAGGCTGTATATATGTCAGGGACCAAATAAATCCCAGCATAGCTCTGTCATTCTTGCCTCCTGGACTCAACCACGTAATGGTATAATGAGGTACCCACAAATAGCTACTGATGGAATTTTATGGCAACCAGTTGGCTTCTGCATGGGCATAGAACGTATATATAAACTTAGGCTGGACAAGACTAGAAATGTTTTAATGAAGATTATGGCAATTTGGGAGAACTTCTCTTCATCTGGGAATTTTGCAAGTAACGTTTAGTGTTTGGAAGCTGGTACAAGCTGCCAGTGCTGTGGTGTACACAGTGTCTTTGCCTCCAAGGGAGATATTTTTCCGAGAAATCAAATTTGCTCTTGCAGCTTTAAAACGCCCAGAGAGAGGCTGGGGGTTGGGTTGGCATATGTACAACATAAAGTTGAGGGTTTTGACTTACTTTTAATGGATAGCTCATGTCTAGAACTAGCCAGTGCAGTGTTTTCTGTTAGCTTTCTACATTACATCTGACATCACTCTCACTCATTCCATAGTATCCACAAAAAATGAAGACCTACTTTTGAGTTTCTTCCCCCCCTCCCCGTGAAGCATTCCCCCCCCCCCCCGTTTCCGTTTGTCCTTTGTTTTTCTCTCCTTACCA